TAAATGAGTCCTCGAGGCTCAATGGGATTTACCTGTCTAAATAAAGGTTGATTGATTGATTGATTGATTAATACAGACAGGAGTGCCTCCAGCTGAGGTGGATGGTGTGTCAGCAGAAGAGCTGAGGGCTAGATGCCATTATTTGGATTAAAAGGACCAAAAGTAGAAGGTCCAGAAGTTGACATCAACCTTCTGAAAGCAGATATTGTCAACATTGAACATCAAAGGTCCAGAATTAGAGAGCCCAGATTTTGACATTAAATTAAAAGGCCCCAAACTTGAAGGTGATATTGATGTTAAAATGTCAAAGGTCAAAGGAGAAATTAAAACACCTGATGTCATTACATTAAAGGACATTAAATTGTCAGGACATTAAAGGCCCAAACATTGACATTGAGGGCCACAAAGGATGAATTAAAATGCCTAAAGCCAAGATGGTTGAAGGGAAAAGGGTGGATTTGAAATGTCTAAAATAAAAGTGTCATCAGAGCACTTAAAGGGGATGTGTTAAGCTGGCTGCTTTGAAGGAAGTGCATCATATGTTGTTTATAAATGGTTCATCTGCAGCTGAAGTTTTGACGGCATCTAAAACAACCCGAAGTATCTGAAAATATCTGAGATGAAAAAAATTCACCATCTTGTTTTGCAGTTGTTTCACATTTAAAGTAAAAGTTCAGCTCTTTTCAAGAGGGGTTCTGTGGAAAAAGTTATGAACATGTAATATCTTACCTGCTGCACATAGGCTTTAGAACAACCTCAGTTTGGAGAAACTGATGAGCCAAATAGTCTGAGTGGGGCCAAGACCAGAAGAAGGATTTCTTTTTAATACATAAAAGTTAATTGCTGACACTTTTTGCATGACGTGGTTATGTATGAAGAATTGTCTGATTATGTGTAGAACAAAACGGATGACATAAAACTGCAATACAGCAATGTGAAGCATGTCAGCATTAGAAAAGAGGGTCACCACAGCATGTGCAGGGACAAATACACAGAGGAAAGGGACCATGTCAGATCTGGCAGACGGATTTCATTGGCCCTTTGCCCATGTCAAAGGGGTGTAGATATGTATGTACGGCTGTAGATACATATTCAGGTGTGTTGGTGACTCATCCTTGTAAATATGCTAATCAAGCATCTACTTTAAAATGTCTTAGTATGATGGAATAATTTTATGGGGTTCCCCTTCAGATACGAACAGATAATGGGACCCATTTTACTGGAAAACAAGTGAAAGACTGGTCAGCTGAAAGACGTTGAATGGATTTATCACATTCCTTATCATCCACATGCTGCTGGGCTGATTGAGAGAATGAATGAACTGTTAAAAAAATGCTGAGAAAATTAAATGACAAACATGATTTGACTAACTGGAAAGTAAATTTGTTGCAGGCTGTGTCTCAATTGAATAACAGACCCATTGCACCAGGCACCACTCTTCTAAATCGAATGATACTCCAGAAAAAGAACCAATCAGGATGTGGAAAATTGATGACAGAGCAGAGCTGCCTGTCAGAGCAACTCTTGGATCTGCTGGACTAGATCTGAGGACTCTAGAGCCAGTGACATTGATTTCAGGTCAAATTCAAGTTATAAAATTGGTCTGGGTCTGTAATGTCCTAAAGGTAGGAGAAGAAAAATGGGTGAATGTACCTGTAAACAAATGTTACCTAAGAAAAAACTAATGATTCTTCCTCTATCTGTAAGCAGTACTTTTTGTCTCTACAGCTTGATGTTTCCTTGATCTTTGCTGACTGGACAATCGGGGCCGCCCAGGACCCAACATGGGAGAAGCTGGTGGCAGGCGCCCATCAGATGGGAGTGCAAGCTGTTGGGGCATCACGTGCCTTGTCGCAGGTGCCATGGTCCTGATGGTCAACGTCTCATCAGCAACACCAGGAAGTGTCTTGGAGGAGGATCAGGTGTTCACGTTTGGTTGGAAAAATGCAAGCAAGAACAGAGTGCAAAGTAACTTCACATGTTTGAAACACAAAAAGCTGCCTGATAGGGAACATCACAACTGACTGTCCTATGTACAAGTGTCAGGCATGCTACAACAGGAAAACCATCCCAGTGATACCTAAGGGATGTCAAATTAGAATTTATGTGGAAACCCCACTGTGTAACATGTATAAGAATGGTACATGTAAACCGGATGAAAAAAAAATAGAACAAAGTTTGACTTTACTGCCAATTAAACAAAGGAGAAGGAAACATGCCTCGTTGGCAGTTCATCAAGTTGGAGTCTGGATGCCATCAGTAGTCATGACTCAAGAAGAAACGGCCAAAATACTGCTAAAAGAAATAAACTGTCAGTTGAAGATGTGGGGTAACACTGAAGAAATACTCCAAAACATAACCCAGGTGCTGAACTGGACCGTGTGTACCTTGCAATTTTTTTTTCCCATGCACAGCTGCAGAAGGAGCGTTTCTAGAGAGGGGTGACCACATCCAATCACCACGAGTGGAGGAAGCTGTGGAACATTTCTAGTACATATTGGGTAGTTATAAAACCTGAATTGACAAAGTGTACTGAATATATGTGTGAAGGTTATTGGGTTCAGTATCTTGTGAGCAATGCAACTACAGTGTACAAGTATCATGTGTTACCTGTAATAACTGTACAAGGATATTGGTTTTTGAAAATACAAGGTGAATGGTTTGAGCCACAGACAAATCTCACTTATGACGTGCAACTATGCAGGACGACTGATAAAGGAGTGGTATGTATGCTGCAAATAGGTCATGTTAACCCATGTTTAACCAAAGACGAGGTATTGTGTGATTGGACTCATGAACCAGCTAGAGACATGAAAAGTCATCCTCAATTACCTAAGGTGCCTTTCTCTGGATGTGCGTATGGTGTACGTCTGTGGACTTGGAACAACCAGACTTATCAATTAACTAATTATAGTTCCACCACTCGACTAACAGAGGTACAATGGCAAACTTTGCACGTACTCTGGCGAGTCTACCTAGACCGTTTCAAATGCGCATTGAATGGGTCTACAGAGCTGAAATGAATGATTGAATCTCACAAGTCTAACGTGTCTGATCTAACAGTGTCCACCTGCATTGCTCAAGGAAAGGTTTTACATGTGGCTAAACTTATAGAGCAGGCGTCGGCCCATCATTGGTGGGACATATTCACAGGAATGTCATCTACGGCGCAAAATATATGTAGTATCTCCTTTTTTCATTTTGATTTTAAGTATCTCTGTATTAACCTTGTGTAATTTAGGAACTTGTTTTTATATTAGGAGGGTTAAGAAAAGAATTAATAAGAAAATTTATAATACAGCTTGGTAATGAAAATAATTATACGGACAATGGACACATGGTTTGGTAGGGAAAAAAACTATAGTCACACTCAAACCTGAACACCTACCAGATGTTTTGATTTACGACTATCGTGTCAGTGGGAATGTAATAAATCGAGCGTTCCAAGGGTTTGAAACTCGTCTGGATTTTCTTAACTTTGTGAGTGAGTTTATTCAGGACCAAGTTATGAGGCTATTCCCAGAACAATTTCAATTTCAGGGGAGTGATTTTCAGAATTAAGTGTCTAAATTGCCATAAAAGGCAAGGGTGGAATGATATAAGAATGATTATTTTAATGCTTTTATGTCAATTTATACTTATTTTATACTCATTTCATATGTAGCTTAACTGTGCAAATCAGGCCTTGTGCTACAGAGGGTGATGTGCTTCAAAGGAATGTAGATAAGTCTCCGGGAGTGTTCTTACCAAAAGACTTGGCCCGTCTGGCGGTTACAACGACCCAGAGTTTTCTGTAAACATGTCTTTCATCCATCAGGCTCGTACGCAAAGGCCTTGGGTTTGAAAGACATGTTTTTAAGAGCCATCGCTCTGCTGCACAACTGCCTTGATAATGGGTAAACATGTTTGGCTCTGCCCACACATCACCCAGCCAGAGGGGGAGTATAAAAGTGTAACACTCAGAATAAGAGTTGAAGTCTGCTGTGGAACCTGATCCACAGCAGACTTCCACTCGGACTGAAATGGCTTCCCGGTCTGGTGTCACGGTGAGGGGCTTTTTACATCAATATCTGATTTGTACTGAATGTACTTTTGCTTCACTGTATCTGTGGCAGTTTAATAAATGACACTTATCATTCTAGCAGAAACAGCGAGTGAGTTTTTACTCATTGCTCCGACCATTTTCCCTGAACCTGTATTTTGTTTAAGATAATTTCATAGAACAATTCCGTTTCAAATTTTCATGCTTTAAACTTTACAGATTGAGACACATACTGACCAGGTCTAAACTATTGATAAATGCTTGATGGCATAACTCTACGGCGTCTTATAACACGGTCAACAGAAAATATGACAACCCTGGGTGCACCCAACTTCCTCATCCATACAAAGCCAGAACGCCAGTCAGCACGTCATTTATATCTGGTGACAGTCAACACACACACACACACACACTGACACACCCACCACCCAAGCGTCAAAGCTGCGTGCTCACCTGTCAAGCCATCAATTACTTATTTTACTAATATGGCTTACAAATATTTTGTTACTTTTAGCTATCCATCCATCCATCCATCCATCTATTATTTTTTTATAAAAATCAGTTACCTTTTTGTTACTTTGGTTTTTAGCTAGCTATTTTATTTTAGTTTTTCGTTAATCTACTGCTTTTAGCTAGCCAAGTGCTACATTTAGCTTTTACCTAGTGCTCTGCTTCTTTTTGCTTTAATTCTGTTTCAGCTTCTTCAGCAAAGTAAATTTTTGCTCAGATTCCACTTTTGCATAAAACACAGTTCCTCTAGTTGTTATCCTAAAACAGGCTTGGAGACTGAAGAAGTAGTCCGACAGATTGACACTCAGTTTATTTATAAAATCAAATGGTGCAGACCTGGCTCAGTGAACTTCAAAATGTAGTGTGTGTATAGAAGATATATAAAATAACACAAGAGTCAACCATCACTGACATTTCTAGATAGGAAGATCATGATAACATTCTCTATATTTGAGCAAATTCCTTTGAAAACAAATAAAAAAAGATTTGAAAGACACTACCTGATAAAGGGAGCAGATGTTTTCTGACTCCCAAAGGACTGTGCTCCAAAACAGAGTTGAAATGCATGAGTACAGCTGACAAAGCAACATCCCAGGACATTTTTACACAACAACAGTTCAAAAGTGAAAAGGCACCACACAATACGAGTCACAAAAAGGTGCTGCCACACGTTTGTAATTTTGTAAATGACAAACTTTAAGGCGTATGTCGCTGTCGTGTGCAAAAAACATCTCATATGTGTCTTGTGTACTCTTCGTTGTCCTCTCTGGTGAGGTGTGCTTTGATTCTTCCCCTTTACTGCTGACTTCTTAAAAAAACGTCTAAAATGTGACAAAATTCAATGTATGATTGCATCATCACTATGTCACTTGGTGTCACAGGCATATTAAAGGCTTCCAGGAGTGGCAAGTGAGGGGGAGGGTTGTTGCTTTAGTTCCTGTAACATTTGCGTCCCTCTCCCTCCTTCAGGAAGGTCCATATGAGGGTGTTCACGATGTCGGGCTGGTCCTGCTGCAGCCAGTGGCTGGCCCCAGAAATGATGTTGAGTCGGAAGTGATTCCTAATGTACAGGCGGCAGGCTTCGGCCATTTCCTGCTCCATGAACGCGTCCCGTTCCCCCCACAGCAACAGCACCGGAGACCGGACGTGTCTGTGGCTCAGGGGGAAGGAGCTAGGGATAGAAATGGAAAAAAGAAAAGTCTGTTTGTCTGTGGCTGAGGTTTTGAAGGAAAATACATTCAGATGTTACAGAACACCTGAAGAAAACCAACACATGGGGCCAACATGTAAACTTCCTACAGGAAGACCACAGCTGAGAGACAAACCCAAAACATACACTACAAGACTGAGGGCTGAACAATGCTGACCATCCTCTGCATGACACCATCATGAGGCAGAGGAGCTCCTTCAGTGGTAGACTGATGTCCAAGCCCTGCTCCAAGGACAGATTCAGGAAGTCCTTTGTTCCTGAAGCCATCAGACTGTTCAACTCATCCCCATACAGTAAAAATAGCCTGTAAATCTGTGGTACCCCGGACACTTATGTATGTATGTATGTATGTATGTATATATATATATATATATATATATATATATATATATATATATATGTATGTATG